CTGGCTTAAGAAAGACAAAGAGTTGCACGCCAATTAGAAACAAGGGGCAAAAAAAGTCCTTGAGGTTCTTCCCATAAAATGCAGTTGACCCTTGAACAACACAGCTTTGAACTGCGCAGGTCCTCTCATATGTGGATATTTCCAATTGACCCACACAGTTCAAACCCACGTTGTTCAAACATCAACTCCAAGGTTGGGAATCCCTGTATGCAGAGGACAGACTGTAGTTATATGCTAATTTTTTACTACAAAGGCAATTTCAATGGAGAAAGGATAGTGTTTTCAATAAATGACACAGGGACACCCTGGCCAGTATGGCTCAGTGGTTGGAGCACAGTCCTGTATATACTGAAGGGTTGAGGATTCGATTCCCAGTCAGGGCACATACCCAGGTTGTGGGTTCAAGTCCCAGTCAGGCGCTTATGGGAGGCAACCCATTGGTGTTCCTCTCTCTTTCTCCCCGCCTCTCCTTTACTCTCTCTCTAGAATCAATGGAAAAAACAAACAAACCTTCATGTGAAGATTTAAAAAAAAAAATGATGCTGGGATAACTGGACAGCTACATGAAAAAATACATCTAGACACAGGCCTTACACTTGTCACAAAAATGAAAATGGATCACAGACCTAAATATAAAATGCAAAAGCTATAAAACTCCTAGATAACATAGGAGAAAATCCAGGTCACTTTTTAGATACAACACCAAATGCACAATTTATGAACAAAAACACTGATAAGTTGAATTCATAAAAACCAGAAATTTCCACTCTGTGAAAGCACTGTTAAGAGAATGAAAGACAAGTAACAGACTGGGAGAAAAATCTTTGCAAAAATACACGACTGATAAAAGATTGCCTCCAAAATATACAAAGAACACTTAGAACTCAACAAGAAAACAAACCAATTAAAAAATGGGCAAAAGATCTAAACAGATACCTCACCAAGGAAGATATACAGATGGAAAATAAGCATATGGAGAGATACTCAATATCTTATGTCATTAGGGAACCCCAAATTCCTTTTACAATAGCTAAAATCCAAAACACTGGCACCAGCAAATGCTGGTAAGGATGTAAAACAACAGGAAGAAATCTGGAAGAATTTAACACCAAAACAGTAGTTATTGCCAGAGTGGTAGGATTATAGGTAGCTATTTACTTTGTTTTATGCTAGTAACATTAAATTTTCTTTGTTTATGCTAGTAACATTAAATTTTCTTTGTTTTACAAATTTTTACTTTGTTTTATGCTAGTAACATTAAATTTTCTAACATAATGCAACATACACATAATAAAAAAAATTAAGTCTGCCCTAACTGGCCTGACAATCACTGATCCACTACAGAAAGAGACAAGGAACTTTAACAGCACCTCACTGATACGTTAGCAGGATTCCCCTGGCCCCAAACCCCAGGCAATGCATTCTGCATTCTTGGGTAAACCAAAAGGTAATTTTTTAAAACTGCTTCAAGTGGGATCTAAGGGGTATTCAAACAATTACAATGACACATATATAAAAATGAAAAGAATTAGATGAGAGTGAAAAAGTTGTACAAGAGAAAGGAAAGAAAAGGCTTAAGAGGTCAATTTCATCCCTGAAATCAATATCCCAAAGAAGATATATGAAATGTTGCTAGTTTCAGGAACCACTCCCCCAAATACTAACCAAACAACAAAATAGTATTCATGAAATAGCAACAAAGTAAATTTTCCAATTTAGGCTTTACAAAATTCCCTCAGAGGTAGGCAGGGCATGGAGATATTGAATATTTAGTATATGGCACCCCCTTAATTAATGTTTCAACAGTTACTTCATATATCTGTTTACAAATTAAGCTTCTGTAACTTTCGGGATGGGGGAATATAAATGCTCTTCAAGAAAATGGCAAAAAAAAAAATCTAGAGGTTAAAAATTGACAGTAATCACTATTACCCCAAATAAAAACTCAAAACCAAGACGCATACTGATGTATTTCATAAGTTTTAAAAGAAAAAAAAAAGTATCCAGGATGCCAAGAAAAACATGATTACTTTTCAAACAGAAAATAGCTGTTTGAAAGCAGGAAGCCAAGACAACGAACTGGTCCTCTCCCACCGTGCCACTGCTGAATTAATGCAGGAAAAAAGAGAAATTCTTTTAAAATCCTCATGCTCTCAGCAAATTTTAAAGGATATAGTTTAATACAAATGAACATATCACTATGAAAAAAAAGTGGAAACAAGAGACAGCTTAAAAAATAAGGAAACTCAAATTTCTAGCATCTTCTTCCAAAAACAGATTTTCAAATCTCTTCCAATATAGAAGAGTATTGCTTTTCAAATCTAGGAAAATAAACACTGGTGAATTACAAAATGCTACTGTCAGGACATCTCCCAGAACGCAAATAGATGTCAATACGAGACAAAAGGTATATAACATGGAAATAATTACAGAAGATTCCATTTCTATACAACAGAAATTCTAAAAGAACTGGAATGGGTAGAGGTAATAAAATAACAATACAAAAAATTCCCCTAAATTTAATGAACTTGAAACTTTTTAAAATGGGGTTCATCAAATGCCATGCAGAAATTTTCTTTAAAAGACACCTCCATACCATAGATGTGGTGAAATTTTGAATTCTAATGGTAACCACAGAATCATACACACTCCTAGGAAAAAAGCAGAGTGGTGGCAAGGGAACGAAAATCTGGCTTAATGTTTGACTTCTCACCTGAATCTTTAAATGCCGAAAGACAAAATGCTAAGTATCTAGAATTTAAAGAGATTTAGCCTTTCAAACTACATTTCAAGATCTCAGGACTTGAAATAAGATTTTAGACATGAAATGCCTCAAATAGTATACAATCTATGTACTCCGTTTATTCTTGAACAAATTACTTAAAAGTATTTTAACCTGAGAAAAAGGATTTAGAAAACAGAACTCAACGAAAGAAAAAGAACAAAACCACAAAGCTTTAAAGTAACTGCTGTGGATACACAATTTATGAAACAGCTGACAAAGCCTAATCCAAGCAACCCGAACTGCAGCATTCTAACAGTTATATCACATGATCTAGGACTAAGGCTTAACATTAGGAAAGTCTTTACATTAACAGAGTAAAGGGAAGTGGGTAAAAAGAACTGTGGTATATTAAGATTTCAAAAAGGAAAAAATGGTAAAAAAGGGACTTAAAATGGTATTTTTTAAAAAGTCAAAATGGCTTTAAAAGAAAAAGCTAAAATGCAGCATCTATACCTGATAAAAACTCTTTGTAAATTACAAGGAACAGCCTTAGCATAAATGCACTTGACTATCAGAAACCATCAGCACATGCAATGAAGTAAGACAGTAGAGGTAGTAAGCTCACGGTAGGCTCACTGGAGGCAAAGAAAAATGAACACTCAGTTCACTATCATACAACACTGTTCCAGAAGGTAACATACAATAAGGAAAAATATAAAATTATAAAACTATGTACTAATGCATAGCAGACCAGAATAATGGAGATAATGACTTAAGTTTTACTTTTCCCCAAAATGTATACATTGACTGCAACTCAAGTCAATATCTCAATGAGAATTTATTACTGGAACCTGACACACTGCAAAATCATCTAGAATAACTACAATCCCTAAATTACATTTTTAATATAAAAAATATAACTATCTAAGCTGTGGGGGGAAAATGCAGTGTTTTTATAAGCTCAGGATGAAAAAACTTTTCCTAGTATACCAGTTAAAAACCTTAGCAATAAATTGGTAGATTTGACTACATAAAATGAAAAACATTAATATAGCAAAATATCTATCAGCAACATGGCCAAACATGACCAAAATGTAGGTCTTTTAGTATATTTACTAAAAGGGACATGTCAAGAACTTTTACAAATCAAAAGACCCCATTAATCGCCCTGGCCAGTGTGGCTCAGTTTGTTGGCTGTTGTCCCGGGCACAGAAAGGTTGCCAGTTGATTTCCGGTCAGGGCGTATGTTCAGGGTGTACTCTCGATCCCTGGTAGGGGGCTGTGCAGGAGGCAGCCTATTGGTGTTTTGCTCTCACATTGGTGTTTCTCTCTCTTCCCCTTCCTCTCTCTCCTTAAAAAAAAAATCAATAAAAAAATCTTTAAAAAAAAAAGACCTCATTAATTATTCAGTAAATTGGTACAACCTCTTTACAGTGAATTGAAACAATTCTACAAGTTCACATTGGAGAACTGGTTCCAAGGAACAGTTCACATAGACGTGTGTATAGGGCTATTATTGAATGTGGGACTGTTTTTAAGGTAAAAAACCCAAGGTCTATCAAGGAGGGATATGTTAAATTATTGCACATCCATATAAAGGCACACTGCGTAGTCATTAAAAAAAGATGAGGCAGAGTTACGTGTACAGACATGGAACTATGCTGTGATAAACTATTAACAGGTGCTTGTCTCTGAGGAGATGGAATTACAGGGGGTTTTCACCTTGGCTACACTGTTTTTATTTTTTTAATGTGCATCCATTATCAAAAAAAGGGGAGGAGGTGTCTCTATTCCCAAACCAAAAGCTTATAAACAATTATAAGAAAAAAAAATATTTTGACAATGGCTAATTTCTTACTGATCCAGGAAAATCATGCCTTAAATTACAAAAATGTTTATCCCTTTAATGAGAAAAAAACCATTACCACACTTACATTAGCTGGTTGCTCTCAACAGGAACATCTGTGTCTTCACTGAGTTCCAATCTATCACGCCTGTAGGTCGAACCAACACTCAATCCATGAATTAATAATAATGAGGCAGAAAAAATTTTCCTCCTCACATTGCCAAGGAAACCTCTCAGCCACAATTCAAACACAGGATGTGTTTTTAAAACATCTCCCAACTATTGGGAGATTAAGTCCATTCGAACAACCTTTGTCAGACTGGAGACAGCTAGGGCTAGTTATCTCCTCAAAACAAAAACAAAAACAAAAAACAAACAAAAAAAGTTCATTTAAAGATGAACTTGAAATTGAAAGGATTATTTTTTTAAAAATCCATCTTCCATAGCCGAACAATATAATTTAAAAAGAAAAAAAGAAAGAAAAAATTAAAAGAACACCAAAATTCAATAAGATCCAATTTCTGGTCTTCAAGATTTCTTCACCTATTAAGAAAAAAACAGAAACCTTCCCCCATCTTTATTATCTGTATAGTAAAAGCATACTTGTATGTAAAAATATAAAGTGTTTTATGTACATAATATACATATATACTAACTGGCTTATACACACATACACACACACACATACACACAAATGTGTAGAAATAAAACATTTGGGTAAGTTTTCCCTTTTAAAATACACTACAAAAGCATTTAGATTTGGGTTCATTATAAAAGTAGTGAACTTACTCTTATACCAAAGTATCATGAAGTATATTACACAAAATTTTGCCCAGCCCGCAAAATAAAGATGAGGGGAAATCTTTACACATATATCAATGTGTATAATATGGATGCATGTATATCATCTTTTTTTACCTTCAGGGAGTGTTTAACCAAAAAAGATAGAAACGTATAGTTATAGAGTAACTACAGAGTGGTGCAGCAAGCTGTAGAAGGCAGAGCAGCATTATAGCCATACTGAACTGGCACTGTCAAAATACAAAAAGCTTCTATAAGGGAAGATTTTTTTCTTTTATACCAACACCAGTGTCAACTGGCATGAAATTCAATATTGGCCCTGCAAAGGCTTGCTTATGCAGCCTAATTTCAAATTCTTTACTACTGATGGCTACAACTAAAGATGTTGTAATTATCCATTTACTCCAGTTAGTAAAAGGGTAAACTTTTGAAGTTGAAATTTCATTCCACAATGGTACATTTACCATTTAAGAATTTAAAAAAAATAAAAATGGTAAAAAAAAAAAAAAAACCACCAAAAAACCCCCAAAAACCTTGATACATAGAAATGAATTCTAAATTTTGAAACCAGCCCAGTAACAAAGCAATTTTGATTCTCATGTAATAGATACTACATTATTTCTAGGCTAAATCTTGCCAAATACTATCCAAGACAAAACTAAAATCAAAACTTAAAAAAAAGTGGACACCTTTTACTCACACTTAATACTAGTCAATTTTCCAGGAAATTTTTGGGCAGGGAATATCCCCAAATCTAAAATGAAAAAAAGGAAAAATTGGGATCTCACATTAGTTATTCAGTCTGAAAATTTTAATAGACTTTTATTAAAAAGTCGTCATTTTCTGGCCTCCCACTCAATCACAGAAACATACTTTTAGAGTGGAAAAGCACCTTAAAAATCACTGAGATCAATTCTCTCATTTTACCAGTGAGGAAATGATTCCTAACACATGAAAATATTGATTGTTTATTTTTAGTTAAGAATTGAGGTCAAAACAATTTCATAGTTAATACAGTTTTATGAATAATTCAGTATATTTTTAAAAGCATTTAAGATCATTTAATATCAGAAAAACATTCTTTGGAAAATGGATACTAGGTTTGTCAAAGTATGCTCATGGATGGGACTTTCATTTTAATTCCCAATCTTTTTAAATTTCATAAACTTTTACTATGTCATTTACCCATAATTAGGCCAAAGTACCTATGCAATTTTTGTTTTTAACACTATTTTATAAAGATTAAAAAAGGTAATTCAAGGATTAAAAGAATTTTTCCTAATTGTTTTCTGTTTCCCTTTTATATAGATCCAATCCTATAAAGGGAACAAAGTAAGCTAAAATTATAAAACTGACCAGTATGAGGAGGCAATTAGAAATTTCCAAATATAAAACAATTTTGAGTTTTGTTTTTGCGAAGCTATAAGTATGATTCAGGGTTTTAGAAGAAATAGAAAAATGGGGATGGAGGGAGGAACACCAGCTTAGTATATTTTCTCTCCATATCATTGGTTTCAGAGTAATCAAACTTCCCATGTTGGGAGAAATTTTTATTTAAAACCAATTACCAGTTCAGTTTACCAGTCAGAAATAGCCTAAGGCCTTTCAATGCTGCACTATATTTTTTTAATTAAAAAATATGTCAACTGATAGAAACAAAATTTCATCTGACAGCTACATTGAGTTAGTACTGTGAAATCACTGAAGTTAATCTTCACTTTGTCAATGTTACCTCTGAGGAATTTTCAGTCCTTTTTGTGTTTTCAGGTTTCCCCAGATTCATGTATAAAGAATAATTAGTTAACAATATGTAACAACTATAGCAATTAGAATACAGTAACAGAGCAAGAAGTTGCCCATTTTAAATGGAGAAAAGAAAATTAAGATATTTCTTTTTCATTGCTTTGAACAACTTCATTCTCAGGATCCCAGCTCAGAACCAATGTAGAATAATCATATTTAACATTTTTCAAGTTCATTTTCAGAAACATCAGCTGTTCTATATTGTCAAAGTCCAGGCTCATGATCTGCTTTGGATGAAAGTGGCTATTTGCAGTAAAGATACATTCAGATTGCCAACTACACATGGGGCAGCTTAGATACTGAATGGCAACTTGGGTCAAAGCCGGCCATATACTAATCTTCCTCTGCCAGTAAATCAAAGGGTCATCACCTCCTGAGATCTCTGAACACTTCTCTCTGAAGTATTCATCCACTACTGCTACAGCAGAAGGAAACATGAAGCTTTTGCCTCCCACGCCAACACCTGCAGCTGAGCTATCAAAAGACCCTGATACAACAGTGCCTTCTCTTGTAGATGAAGTAAATGAATCCGTTTGTACAATAGCTGAGGGACCAGAAGCTTCTGAAGCTGTAATATGGCAGACCTCTGGTGAAGATTCCATATAATTACAAACTTCTTCTGCAAGGATCTGCTTATATGTTTCTAAATCAGCACCTTGAGGGAAAAAGTCTTCCAAACTATTTTTAAAGCAAGGATCTAACAAAGCAGCCAAGATACAGGGCTTAGATTTGAGCATGGCACTTAGTAGGGTGTCAGTTTCAAGTTTCAGAGATAAACTGTCCACCAGATTGAGGGCCTGCGTAATACCTCTGACTTGAAAATCTTCTCTGAGTTTCTGCAGGGAAAGGAGTAGATGGTGGATTAGGGGTAGCACCTGATTCAATCCTGTGGTCTTCACACTCACTTTCTGGGTGGCCTCCTCAAACGGTTTAAGAATATCACAGACATAAGTCATTAGAGTCCACTGAAGGGAGGTGAGTACAACTCCACTGGCTCTACCAAGACTATGGTGAACTGAGTAGCAATGCTCCAAGAGCCATTTTAACATATAAAAGGTAGAAATCCAATGGCCAGTTTCATCCTGCTTCAAATTCTTCCACGGAAGCTGGCGATCATTTTGGAACTCCTGCAGTATCTGACGGGCCTTGACTGAATGACTAAAATGATGACAGGTTTTCCTAGCAGCCACTAACATATTCTCAATGCTTTTGTGCTCACAGAAAAAATCCTGAATGACTATATTTAAACAATGCAGGAAGCACGGCACGTGGGTAAAACCTCCATCTTTGATTGCATGTACCACATTAGAGGAATTGTCAGAAACAATGAAGCTAGGAATGAGGAAATTAGGAGAGAGCCACAGACCAATCTGGTCATTTAACTCTTGTAAAATGTTGGTTACTAAACAGTCTTTGGCCAAACCTGTTACACAAAGCACTGCCCATTTTCTAAAATTGGGGACCCAGTCAGTATTGGAAGAAGGTGCAGTGTCCAAGGAGACCCAGTGTACAGTCACAATAAAATAGTCAGTGGATGGATCATGGGTCCATATGTCCACAGTCAGGTGGATCTTTTGGCTTTGAACATTCTCCAAAGTTAAGAAAATTTTTTCTCTGACCCAATCATATAACTGAGGTACAGCCTTAGTGAAGAAGTAAGTCTCAGATGGCAACCTATAGTCAGGGGCCACAATCTGCATGAACCTCTGAAAGGCTGGGGTGGAGAAGTAGTTGTAAGGATGCATATCCTCCACAATCATTTGAATAATCGCCTGACTTATTTGACTGGAGACTGAATTTTCACAATATGTTGTTTCTCTCTCCTGGGCATGCATCAGAGTATCTTGCTCTGCAACAGGAATAGGACCCTCAGATACCCTATTTTCGACTTCTAACACAGGAGGCTCATCTGAATCAGAGTCACTAAGGTCCTCAGCTGTTAAATCTTGGCTGCCTGTAGACTTCTCTCCATGCAAAGTATCACTCAAGAGATTTCTCTCAGTCTCAGCTTCATCTAATCCATTTCCAACTGCACCACTGTCTTTGTTGGCAACAGCCCAATGGATGGGATGTGTGGCCTGCAGGTGTCGTTGAAGTGTTGAAGTTCCTAAGTGAGAACCTGGCCTACCCCGGCTCACACTTCTTTTACATATATTACACACAGCTCTTGAGATGTGCTGAGGATCAGTATAAAAAAAATTCCAAACTGCAGATGTCTTGGCTCTTGTTCCAGGAATTAAGGCATGCTTGACAATGTTACTTTTGATGAGAAATCTCCCCCTTTCCGCCCTCAGGGCATCAGATATGGATTTATCTCGTTTCTTACCCATTCTACTATCATCTAATGGATCAGTAGGAATATATTCAAAGCTTCCATTGCTTCCAGCAGAAGAGGGAGATAAAGGTACATCCAAAGTAAAATCCTCCTCCCCACTAGTGACTCCAAATTTGTTGGCCCTTGTCCAGTGAGGTGAATGTCTTGCCTGAAGATGTCGTTGAAGAGTAGATGTCCCAAGATGGCTGCCTGGTTTACCCCTGCTAACACTTTTTTCACAGAGGTTACAAATAGCCCGCCAGGTGTACTGGGGGTCAACATGAAAGAAGTGCCACACAATGGAGGTCTTGGCTCTAGTACTAGGTAGGTAGATCTGTTTTTCTATATTGCTCTCAAAAAGACATTCTTCATCCTGCTCAGGAGTACTGGAAGCTAACAGAGCAGGAGCATCCGCAACAGGCCTCCCAGATCCCAAATCCTTACTAAACTTTTTCACAAGGATCAGTTTCTTTCGTCGTCTTTTCCCCTTAATTCGCAAGCCCTTCTTTCTTTTCTTTTTAGAAGGCAATTTTGCCTCTTTATCCATTCCTTCCGCCACCATCTTTCTCTCTACCACATCTTCTTTATCTGTATTAGAATGAATAGGAACACTTCCCAGAATCCCAGCACCACTAAAAGTTCTGCACCTTCTGCCAGGAGAGAGTGAGGAAACTGGTACACTTAGGGTACATACACTCATTCTCTTTATGCCTCCAAAATTCGTACCAGAATCTGTTAGTGGGTTTATTACTCAAGCGGAAATACAGCTGTTCCTCTCTACTTGCATTACCTATTCTCCAATTTCTACGGGGAATCAAATTCCCTGTGGACCAATGACTTCCAAGCCAGGTTATTTTTGGAGGAAAAGTGACAGCAATGGAGCACATTCCCAAACTCTTTTTCAGAGGGCTTTAAGATCCCTTCCAACTTTCTGAGTTCTGAGTTCAAACTGCCTAATCTACTCATGTTATAGATAATGGAACTGAAGCCCACTTTCCCAGAGTCATAAAGTTGGTCAGTAGCAGCTAGAAGCCAGGTTTTCCAAATCCCAGGTCCACACTCTTTCTGCTTCATCAATAACTATATATGCTTGAAATGCCTTCAACTTTTAAAATAGGTATTTTTATGACGCCTCACAACAGCAACATCAATTTCCATTAATTCTGAAATTATTTTCAGGAAATCTCATTTAAACAAAAACATAGTGCATCATTCAACATCGATCATTTAGGACTGTGATTTGTCAGTACAACCCAAAAAGTCAATTCTGGAATGCTAAATCAGACTCCACATACTGGTCATTAACAACAAATCCTAGCTGACCCTCTCAGCTGTAATTATAACTAATACAATTTTTAAATATGTGGGTGGCTAAAAAAAAATGCTTGGAGGGTAAAATTAAAAATCAAGGTCACAAGACGTTATTTTCGATTTACTGTATCAAGAATTAATCCAAGTTTAGTTTTCAGACCCTTTTAGACTGGAGACGCTTTATGGCCTGTAAATGAGTAACTCGTTAGCTGGACTCTATATGAGCAGCAAAAACTGAAATGAGCTTTACACTACTTCCATTCCTTCTAGGTTGGTCCCTCCCCTTCCCCCAATACCTACATACATTTACCCTAAAAAGCATCGCTATCACTATTTCCACAGCCTCCTTCTCAAGGTCCAAAACCGAGGCCTGTAAGATGTCAATAACAGGGGCCCTTCCCCATAGGAATCCGCACCGACTATGGGAGTTTAGGGGGTGTTCTTCATTACGGTTTCATCAGTCCTACAAGGAGAACGGAAGTGTCCCTGTGGCTCTTGACTCCGATGCTGAGGGCTGGGGGTGGGAGTATAATTAAGGTAGGACAGGGGTGTAGGATACCGGAATAAGGTCGGTGGCTTTCTGTATGTGGAGTTTGAGAAAACCTCCAAAGTAGTGAGACCCTGGAGAGGAATGAGAGTAGGTAAATTCAGCTCCTGGCACTCAGGTTCATTTAAGCAGTGGGGGTCGGCTAAACTAGGGGACCTATGGCCCCGCAAAAAGCAATCTCGAGTCCATTCTCGCTCCGGGGGTCGAGGAGCAAGTCGGCTTTCTGGGGCTGCTCCGGGCTCCCAGGTTCACCAACACCGGATGTGGGGGAGGGGAGGAAGGTTGGCTGGGAAGGGAGCAGGCGCCGTGGGGGTGGG